CTCTTCTTGTTAATGTAAAAGGCGTAACGGATATATTTAATAGTCTATTACGTACAGCCTAGACCTCGCCACGGGTCGGGTTTGGGTCCAACATCAGGACCCGTACCCGCGGGTTACCCGCCAAGAACCCATTTCAGCATAAAGTTCCCAATTAGGCCATGCTAAGATACATAAAAATGCTGATTTATTAAATTATATTACTGTTTCTTACAACTGTAACAGTATTTGGTGCGAATACTATCAATATTCTACTAACCTTTCATGTATCTTGATGAAATCATTCTGAATTCTAACTCTCCTATAGTAATATTAATGATTTGTTCATCTATTTAGGGGCTAGATTATAGCGTAAAAGATTTACATGTAGTAGATAATATACTACCGGTTCTTGGTTGTAAAGATATATATCTCATATATATTTGGTCTAAGTTATAGAAATGGGTTCTTGGCGGGTAAGCGGGGTAACCCACGGGTAAATGGGTTTTCGACGGGTTTTTGACGGGTTCTTGGCGGGTAACCCGCGGGTTACCCATGGGTTACCCGTTTATTCCAGAATTTAATTGGCTTATATATAATCCACTAATGGTAGATCAAACTTAGACAATATTGATCAAAACTAGGGTAGTTCCTAACCTCCCACCCTCCAAGTCTTCTTGAGAGATTATTTCAAAAATAAATCTAACTATTCTATCTCTCTTTTTTAGAATCATATAATTATACTGCTACCTTCTATATCATTATCTTAAATGTTTCACTTTTTAGATACATATATATTATCCTTTTATGAAACAGATATTACCAACAGTGGCCCTGTTCTCCTTTCTGATGAAATAACATCTAATCTATCTATCAGCTAACAGAGTGTTCCTCATAATACAGAGTCTATTATTGATTCTGATTTTGTCCGACCTATCTTACTCTCAAATCCTATACTTACTTCTCTTGAAAGTGTTTACTCTGATCGCATCAATCGCTACATAATTTACTCTAATATGACGAGCAACGACTATATCAAGTGGTAGCTACAAACTGATTTTTGCAAAAAAAAAAAAAAAAACGGCTGCGATAGGATTCACGGCATTTATCTGAGGTTTAGAATCACTTTAATCAAGTGGCTAAGGCTCAAGATGGTACACCAAAGGTCATGTATAAATACTGCAAGGGAATCTTAGATTATCCAGAGCTTGGAAATGGGACTTCAACTATAAAAAAGCATATCAATATATGCAACAAACAATCAAAGAATCACCAGACTCAAAGTTTTATGCAAAAGGCAAGTACAACTACTTATCAAATAATCTATATAATATATTCTAATCTTAATAGGTACCAAACCCTCAGCTAATAACAACATTCAGCTAACAGGACTGGAAGACTAGTCTATTGCGATTTATAACTGAGTCACGGTTACCTTTTCAGCTTCTTGAACACCCTGAATTTCACAACCTAATTTCAATAGCTTAACGTGCGCCAAAATAGCTCAAAATTCCTTTTGCAAAAACAGTCCGGCGCCGATTACAAAGTACTGTTTTTAAATGTTATTAACAAGTTCTCCAGAAACTTCCGAAAGATGGTAAAATCTCAATTGCACTTGACTGCTGGACATCTTTCCAGCAAGCTTTTATGGCAGTTACTGATTACTTTATCGATAATGATTGGAACTATCGTGAAGTGCTCTTTGGATTTGAGCCACTTCATAGGCCGCATTCTGGTAATTATCTCGGCTCTGTTCTCTTCCAGCTGTTAGAGAGATATAACCTAACAGACCGAGTACTTGCTATTACTACCGATAATGCATCAAACAACAATACATTGATGGTAACTATTCAGGAAGCTATTCAATCACTGGATCTTCATGATAGTACAGCAATTATTCGAGTTCCCTGTATTGCTCATGTGATTCAACTGAGTTTGAAACAGCTCCTTGGCCAGATGAAAGCGAATCTAAAGAATGATATTACTGAACTACAATGGACCGAGTCCCAGGATCAACTTGTTCGATCAAGGCATAATAAACGGGAGATTGTTAATACTTTAAATAAGGTTAGTTATAATACTAGTCCTATTCTAATCTGTTAACTGATTCATATTATCTAGCTTCGAAGTTTAGCAGTTTTTATTAATGCTAGCTCTTAACGCTGTGAAACTTTCTGTAAGCTTCAGTTAGATTCTCCCGCAATTGTACCAATTCAGGATGTTCAGACACGTTGGAATTCGACTTTTCTTATGTTCCAACGGGTTAAACGACTACAATCATTCCTGGATGAGTTCTGCTCAAAATACGGCCACCCATATCTGAAACTTAATCAAGAGCAGTAGCATCAGATCGACTACTTACTATAGATTATATAGCTATTTTTCCAATTTATAACTGTACCTTCAAACACTACAGATATTACAGTTCATCTTATTTTCGCTATTTACAATAAGCTCTTTGACTATCTGAAAAAATCAATCAAACAGCTGAAAAGAAAGAATGTACTATAGAAAAAGTTAATGCTTACTGGTCTTCATGCGGCACGGACAAAGCTTTCTCAATACTATAGTAAAACAGATGAGATCGAGAGAGATCTGTTTACTATCAGTATAATGCTCGTACCGTAACATAAAAGTATCTTGATAGCCGTAAGTACTGTCCTTACAGCTATTTATTCTTTATATCCTGTACTAATTATCTCTTTAGCTACTGTTTCGGGTATGTCAATTCGAACATTCTGGAAAGAACATCAGCATACCTTTCCTGCACTTACAAAGCTTGCCCGTGATGTACTTTCAATTCCTGCTACTGGTGCAGGTGTTGAAAGACTGTTTAATTCAGCTCGAGATATCTGTCACTACCGCCGGGGTTCATTGAATGCTACTACTATACAAGAGCTTATGTTGTATAACTGTACAACTAAATTTGAGATTGAGGAAGAGACTTTTCTTTGGAAAGAGGAATATCTTTCTACTGAAGAAATTGAAATCAGCCAGGAAGAGAAGTATACCCAGCTTCAAAGTAGTATTGAGCCAATTAGTGATGACGAAGAAGCTAGTGATAGAGAAGAAATGGAAGGAACTATATCAGGTCAAGCAACAATAGCAGTTCAGCTTCTATATACTGCCCGAGGCTTAGCCTCAGGCAGGAATGCCTGCAGAGCATCCAGGAACCTTCCTGGATGCCTACCGGAGGGTCCCTCGATCCTATACTAACTAACCAGAACGTTCCTCCGCACCGGGAAGTTCCCTGATTTCGGGTCACAAGCTATAGGGAAAACTTTTTTACATAAATTTATAAGGGCTTTCTCCTTATCCATTAGGATTGTATGCAATAGTTATAAGCTAAATTGAATGTAAACTTTGAATAGATTTTTAAGTGAAAAATTATATAAGCTTTGCTACTCACTATAAATAAACACAAAACTAATAAAGAATGTATGCCCTGTTGCTGTAATTCTATTAATGTCAAGTAATGGTATCTTGTATCTGTTAATCTTGTATATGCAATCCATAATCAAAATATATAAATTTAAATGAAGTAAATTGAAACTGCTTTTGTACATATAAAAAAGGTCTATCAGATAATGATCTCCGTTAGTTATATAATTAAAAAGTTACTCTTCTAATAGACCTGTAAGAAGAGCCTGAATATAAGTTCAGTTATTAAAAAATTTATAATGACGTTTCTGCTAAAAGTTGTAGATATTTCGGGAAAGTAATGTTATAATATTTTTCTGTCAGATATTTTAAACAATTTAACGAAGTTTTATACTGCAAGTTGATTCTTAATAAATCTAATGTTTCCTTTGAGATCAATTTTCTGTAATGTTAGATGAGTATAAGCTAGAGATATCTCGTAATTATAATTACTATTTGTAACTTTAATCTTCCAAAACTATTCTGATTTTGAATTAGAATCAGATTATACATATTTAATAGCTGCACAAAAAGGGCAATTGTCTTAATAAAAGCTTTTTTGTCTTTTTCTTTCGGTTTTGTTAATTTTGCTTTTGTATATTTTACTACAATTATACTGTAGATATCGTGTCTTGATCTGTTTACCCTTCTTATCTTTTTTTGAATTTTTTGTAGTTAAAGCGTAGCTATGCTGCCGAGTGAAATTGTTAATAAAATCTATAGTTTCTTGTTCTGGAGCAAATCAGTGATCAGTTAGTAGTAAGAAATATATATTTAATTCATAAGATTCGATTGATTTTTCAGGTATGGTAAAAAAATCGATTTGTACTTCAAATTCTATATTAAGTAGAGCGTTTTCATCAAATTTAGACTCTACAAAGTCAGAAAATGCATTTTCTGCTTCTATAGTAGCAAGTATAGTAATTGTATCTTACATTGAAATATATATGTAACGTAAGATGAAAGTGGTGAGGTCCCTACCGGCGCGCTGCGCAGCGCCGGCACCAGCGGCTGACTAATCCACCTGGTCACGTGGGGGTGTGTCTGTAGCGCTTCCCTTTTTAAAGCCTATATAGTTAGTTTTGTTATAAATTATAAAAATACGACTGTAATTTATAATACCTAGATTAATAGCCTTTGTAAAGGCTTAGTGATAAAATGTATATATATTATAAAGCATTATGATATAACGTAATTCCCAACCGAGTGGCCACCCCAACCGAGATCGACCACACCTTCAAAAATTGAAGCCATTAAAAATCAACAAAACAATGCATTTTTTATTAAGCTATTCAAACTGCGCGTGAAGGACATATAGTTCTAGTATTTCCTTGAATATTGCAATTAGAACACGTCGGTGGAGCGCGCTTTGGGGCCCCTAAAGTTGAAGATCTCGCCTGCGTATATTCATGATTTATTGCCTCTATCCGCACATTTCGCTCGTGAATTGAACCTCTCGTTTGCTCTATGGGATTGGCCTCAGTAGGGGTCATTTGACGTTTCGATCGAGCCTTTTTTAAACGATTATTTGCATTTTCCGCGCGTAAATCGACGTTTTCTTTTCGCGAGTTGTGCCGCCTTGTAAAGCGAGTATTCGAACCTTTTTAAAAAAGCTCTGGAATAGGCGTTTTGAAGGCGTAGAGGAACTGCGGGATCCCTGCTTTAGCATCTCCTTTATCGATGAAGCCGATTTCTACAGTTGCTTTGCTGTATGAGGCGTCGCTAGAGTTGAATTTGTAGAGCCACGGCTCGGTGGAGGTGTAAGAGTTGAAAGGCGAATATTCAACTTTTCGAGCACTCTCGCAGGTTGAAAAGGGACGATTCCCGCTGTTTTGTAGCTGATCAAACCACGTTTGTATAACTCGAGGGTCCTCGCATTTTGCTCGCTCGTAATTATGTCGCCTTGAAAAGCGAGATTTGATCTCCGGGCGTCGTTTTATAAATGTTGTGACCCAGTTCTTGCCGAGAGGTTTAAATCGCGATGGATTGTCTGTTCGGAGGATGATTTCGGCCATTTCTTGAACGTGAGAAGGTCTCGGAGGCATTCCACGCGAATCCATAGAGAGTATCCATTGAATATGCGATTCCTCTTGAATTAGCGATAATCGATGAGAATTTGCGCGAGTTTCTGCGCGATAAACTTGTCCCTTAAGACGCCTGCGTAAAGTAGTTCTGGGGATTTCAAAAACTTTAGCTGCGCGAGCCACAGAAGAGATTTTTTTTATTTTGAATAGCTTTAACTGCGAGTATGATTCTGCCCTCTTGATTTTCAAAATCTTGAGATAATTGACTCATTTTTGGTGGTGTGGTTGATAATTTAATGACTTTAACTAATATTATGATAAGGAAGTTGAAGTGGGGTGGCCACTCGGTCAGGGGTGGCCACTCGGTTGGGAATTACGTTATATATTTATTATTAAACCTTAAATATGTCACGGGCTTGGCAGTGAGTAGGTGCGCTTCTACCCGCCAAGACCGTCTAGTAGGACAGTTACCAACCGAGCTACTAAAAAGACCAGAATACCAAGTCGAAGACTTGGTATGCGCATCGCTCTATATAGTAAGCCTTGGTCAGTTCGTCACAAAATAATGCATTGTGGTTGTGTTATTTAGGTCTATACAACAGCTATTTTCTATGGGAATACACAGGTGGCCGCTCGCTTGTGAAATACGTTAATAGAGAACATTATTTTAATTAAATAGGGACAGAACGTACTTTTTTTTCTATATTATAACCGTTCAATAAGATTAATAATAAAATTGCTATAATTTTAACAGAACTCGATAATCTATAATAAAAAATATTAGATATAAGACTCTTGGAGATATAATTAGCGTAATACTATATCGAGCGCATTTATACTACCTTATATTATTTTTTAAAAATCCGGGCCTACGCTAATAAGATATTAAAAACTTATCCTTTATAAACTAAAAAGGAATCCCGTTTTTAGAACAAAAAACTATCTATATTAAATATTTAAAATATTTAATTTATAAAAAATTGGTATAACATGATTCCCGGTCGACCGGTCACCTCACCAAAACTTCAAAAAATCGCAATTTTCAACAGCAAATTTAGAACCAAAACAATAATAAAATTGACTAACTCTTTCAGAGCATTGGTTAATCCCGTGTTCTTTCGTATTATGGCTAGAACAAGTAAACTTGCGGCAAATAGTAAACATCTAAAATAATTCTGGTTCAACTATAGCTTCCATAGAAGTTAGATCTAAAGATATATAATTACTATTAATGTTTCTTTTAATACTAATATTATTCTGAATATCTTCTAACTTTCTCAGATTACTCTTGTAAACAGTCTGCTTTTTATGTTTTATTCTTTTTTTTATTTGCTTCTTATTTGCTTTTTCTAACTGGCAGCATCGATCGGGAAAAAAAATAGTAATAAAACAATGAGATTATTATATTGTAATAGTACTGAATCTTTCTTTTTGTAGGTAAAAAGAGATTATCAGATGAAAGTTTTAGGCCTAAATCGATGCGAGATTTAGATTTCTTCAGCTTTTTAAGTGTCTAGAGAGAATTGGGGTCACTGTTACTGCCGGAAGATAGTAGTCGATTTAGTAGTAGTCCAAGAGATAATAAAGACTTAAGCTGAATATTTAACTTTTCTAATACATCATCCGGATTAAATGAGACTAATCCAGTAGATAGAAAGCTATTTTGAATAGTAATCCCTTTAAAGGTATCATATCGCATTCCAGAAAAGATACCCAGAGAATCTTCTTTTTCAATCGAATTGATATTGATTGAGTCTTATGTATTCTGTCACTTTACCTCTGTATAAACGTTTTAAAATCGCAAAATAGCCTATATCAAGTGACTGTAAGAGATGCGATACATAAGGTAACATATAAATAGGGATAATATTATTTTCGGAGTATAACTGGTCAAATTCTGGAATAAGATGATTCCTATAACTATCTAATACTAGAAAACAATATTTTCCCTTTCTTGATCGTATATTTGGAATGAAATATATTTTTAACTAATTAAGAGCAATCTTATCGCTTATTTAAATATTTTTTAAAATATTAACTCGCCAGTCAGCTTTGTTTGATAGAAAATCAAACTAATAATATTTAAATATTTTGCCTTTGAAAATAATGTATAGTGGTAGAGCAACTTCAGAAGCTTCTATACATTCTATTACAGTAACCTATTTGCAATTTTTAGCTTGTAAAAGAGCTCTCTGACCATAATAATTAGCAGAATTATAATTTTTTGAGTAATATTTATGTCTATCGCAAACCCAGATTTATTGAAGTTAAAGATATTATTCGAGTCGATACTATATTTTTAAATAGTTTCTTTAACCAATTTAAACTATAGTATGATAATTTTGGGATTCTCAGAAAGAGCCCTCTTATAGTTATATTTGCGAGATAGATGTATTATAAGATTTAGACAGCGTTTGACAAATTCTGTAGGCCAATTTTATTCAGCAGAAAGGGTAGTAACAGAGATTATTATTTTATACAAATAAAGTAGTAAATTAGTTATATTTCGCAATATAAACAAATTGAAAGTTGTACCCCTCGAATCTATAGAGATTAACCAATCTTCTATTGAACTATTTTCAAGCTAGGTAAATTTTTGGCTATTTAACCACATATTATGCTTGTTTTGGCGACCCTTAATTCGAGCTAAGATGGTAGTATATGACATTTCAAAAGAGCGGGCAGCAGTAGCAATAAAGGAAATCTTACCATTTTTAATAGCTTTTACAGCAAGTAGAAGATGACCCTCTTGCTCAATCAATTTTTGTGTTTTCTGGGGTCTTTTTGGAGGCATAGTGATGGCTTAAAAAATGTAAACAATGGTTGCTAAGGGAAAATTTGATGGGGTGACCGGTCGGCCGGGAATCACGTTAAATAAAGAGGTATTTTTATTCTTTATAGAACGAAATATTTAAAAATAGTAACTAAAACTAGTTTATCACGGTGTCTACGCTATTTTAAAGAATTTAATTAAAACTATATTTTTTGAGACTGGTAATGTGACAACCTCAGAAATAAAGAATGATTCTTATTGCACGTTATTTACGGGACACTAGGTTGAAGGAAGGAAGGAGCAAAGAACAGCAATTTACTGCATATGAAGCAGTAAACAAACCCACTGTTTGTGGGACAAACAGGTCAAACGGTGCAAACGTTGAAAACACCCTGGCGCAGGGCAACGCTCCACGCTCTGGTCGTCAGAGGTATAAAAGGATTTTAGGGTTAAAATAAGATAAATTATTAATAGTTTAATATAAATATTTACCGGGTTCTTACTATTTAATTATATTATTACCGCTATTTTTATTATCGTGTAAAAATTTACCTCGATTTATTTAGAAAGTGTTATTATAAATCAAATATTTTATTTAATCCAGCAGCCTTTTTAATAATTTATTACATTGAAAATCGGTTCGATATTATTCTCGAAAAAAAATTAATTAATTTTAACTTATCGAGGGCAGTATAGGCTAAATTATTTGATATAATATGTAAGGCTCCAAAACCCGGAGTATAGGTATGGCTTAATTGAAGAATAAACTGCACGAGGTGCTGAAGTTGCACGGCGGTGGCCGTGCAATTACAGATGTCTCTGGGTCACGTGACCACCTGGTCAGGGCCCTGACATAATAAAGATCGAACTAATTAAACTTTATATAAAAAAGATCTATAATAATAGTATTATTATTGTTACTCCGTTGGGCCTTTAGCCATCTGGTCTATCTTGCTATATAAGAAAGAGAACTTTGTAGGGCTGAAAGCTTTACTGGGTAAAAAATCTCTCTGCTTTAGTAATGTATCTTCCGCTCTTTGTATATATCTCTAGAACCCGTTTGCTGGCATCAGCCTTATTAACCCTCGATAAATTAAATTACTAGCTAGAATTAGTTGATCACTCCTTTCTGTATCTATTATCTCGTTACCTTTTGTACTCTTTTAGGGTAGTAAGCAGCTGCCCAACGTCTATTCATCCTTGTATTTCTAGATTGTGTCTGGCCTTATAGTATACTTTACAAAATGTAATAACGTACTTAAGGTCTTCCTTTTTCTATTGCACTTAAGGTATATCGGTAAATCCTACTCTAGTACCTTTGCATAATAATGTAGGAAGGCTGCCAGTCCCACCTTGCTTGTTTGAAGTTGTGTTAATACTGGACTCTCAGCCTTATACATACTGACCTGAAGCTTAAACGGGTCTTTAATTAATCTATATCGGACTGTTTCAGATAGACTCTTACAGAGTTTCTTTCTCTCTCTTTTTTTTTTTTCTCTCTAGAACCGCTTTTTATATCTTGCGCTTTTCGGTCTACCCCTTCGCTGTCGACAGTAGCGCTCTTTTAATCTATGCCTGGCTCCAGCCCTGTAGCATGGACCTGATGTATTTTACTCTTTTCTGTCCGTAGACCGTTGGTCGGAAGGAACTATTTTCTAGCCTTTTGCATATCCGTTTTGTGAGTTTGCTGGTCTTTCGCCTTGCAGCCCTTGCATGGTACTCAGCCAGTTTTCCTGTAAGGTAGTGAATATTTTATTAATTTTGAAACTTTTCTTTCAAAAAAACCAAATAACCTTAATTTATAGCTATTAATTACAATTATTATTTTTTTATTAAAGTTGATGAAATGTCTCTAGATAATTTTATTTAAAAAATTTACAAAAATAATGTAGTTTAAATTATTATAAATGTGACAACCTCAGGAATGAAGAAATGATCTTATTGTAGGCTAGTTACGAAACACTAAGTTGAGGAAAGAAGACGAAGAAAACAGCGATTTACTGCATGAAGCAGTAAACAAACCCACTGTGTAGGACAAACGAACCAAACAGTGCAAACTATGCAAGCAGCCTGGTATAGGGCGGTTGCTCCGGACGTCCCAAAAAAAAAAATAAAAAAAAAATATAAATTTTCGACTATTATATTTAAATAAAGAATAAAGCTTTTTATAATTAATATGGTTATTTAAAATTGTTTGAATTAGTGAACGTATATATAT